AGCCTTGTTACCGTGAAGATGTGGTCCATCGTACTAAATCCCTTTCGAAATCTTGCTTGCTCACATGGCTGTACTTTGTCTAGTGTCCTGTCAATCCTGTTTAGGATGACTTAAGTGAAAAATTTGTAGACGGCAGACAACAAACGGATTGGGCGATAGTTGCCGATATTGTGTAGGTCACCGTTCTTGAACAATAACACGGTCTTGCTAGTCTTGCACTGAGTAGGGCATTGAATTCAGAAAGGAAACATGTGAAGAGCCGGGTCAGTGTGTTTACGAGGACAGGGGGAAGGTTTTTGAGGTGTTCTGGTCTTATCCTCTCCGGACCTGGTGCTGTTCGGTTTTTCACCGACGAAATGGCACGTCGGACTTCGGAAGGGAGAACCGGTGGTACAATAGAAAGGTGGACGTGGCTATCGAAGAGATCCGAGTAGTATTCGTGAATGATTTTCTCCATTGCGTTTTTGGACACTGTAACTATTCCGTCTGGGTGCCGGAGTGCAATTATTTTGATCTTGTGATTGGCGAACCTTCGGTGTTCTTTGTGAATGCTTTTCCCAACCTCTGCAGCTTCCACCATTACTGCCGCTCTTCTTTCTTTAAAATCCTTTTTACAACTGATCTGCATTGTTTGGCAAGTTCGGACGCTAGTTAGCGGTTTCCTGCAGCTCGTGCGATTCCATGCTGGCGTATCAGCTCGAGTGTTTCTGGAGACAAACGTCTTTTGGTGACTTTCGAACTCTCAGCTTTCCTAGTGCTAACGTGAAGATGTTGAATGAGCCATCGTATTTCTCATCGATGTTATCGACAACGGCTTCTTCCCAACAACCGACTAATGAACTAAATAAGTCCTAGTTTGTGGTGGTTTTGCGACTTTTGTTTTTGAATTTTGTGGGTTTTTTCCTTTTTGCGAAAAATAGAATCTTGCACGAAGAAGACGGTAGTCTGATTCCGTGTAGAATTTTAGGACAACAGCGACATCGGTTAGGCAAAACTTTCTATTTGCTATGATGTGGTCTATTTTGTTATGGTACTTTCCATTAAAAACTACCACGTCCAGAGTCGAGATTTGGGCTTCTGGAATCGCGAGTTACCATGGATGGTCTTCGTTGCCGTGATAAACTCAGATACCCGCTCACTCTGTTCGTCACATTCTAATCCATGGATCCCAATGTGACGTCCTTCAGACGTTCTCCTTGGTCCGATCATGGCGCTGAGACCTCCAATGATGAGCTTGAAGAATGTGTGGTCTTCTTTGTAGAACTTCTCCAAGTCCATATAGAACGCTTCGACTTCTTCGTTGTCATAGTTTGATGTTGGCGCACAAACGACCGACGACGATTGCCAAAGCCGGAATTGATCCACATCTTTTTAATTGTTGACGTCCGATTCGGGTTGTAGGTTGTTCGAATGAACCAATGATCACGGGCAAACTCGTGTTGACGAGAACCCCGACCCGGAGACAGTATTTCTCTGCTGTCATAGAGCGCGTTGAATGGGTGGCATCGTCTCGTCTCGGCCAGGTCGATGACGTCCTTCTTTATCCTTTATCCTTCTTGCTTGCAAGGCCAGGTCTTCTATCGAGGATTCAGATGCAAGTGTACGTGCATTATAGGTACAGGTCGTCGCCATAGTTTCTTGAAATCCATGCAGCTTCCTTTTCCCTAAGATTTTAGAAGCCTCTCCGTGCTCGTCCTACCCAACGCTGCGAAATTGGGGGCTCTTTCGGGGTCATGGGAATGGGGTCCGTTTTTTTTCTGTGTTTAGCATTTTTGATACCCACGTATAGTTTGCTGGGCTTTGAACGTGGGGGTTAGGTATACTCACGGGTAGCTTGCCAGGCTCTCCCAGAGAGGACATAGAGCTTATTTGTCGGAGGCGACTCCTAACCGCCCCCATGTACTGCCCAGTCACTTGATTTCAGGCTTTTGGCCGATTTGACTCATAGAATACAATCCGTATAAGCAAGAACGCACCCACATACGCATGCATGAATACGCCTAACAAATACAGAAAGTGTGTGACAAATCGGCGCAGCAGAAACAAGGAGTCCAACTCCTAGGTCGACCTGCTTTTCAGAGTTAAAGCAAAGGTCACTTTTGGTCCGCGATTAACCACTATTTGCCACACGGGGATGCGCCACGTAGCCTTGTGACTAACCGGTTCGAGGCCCCTCATATGAGGGAGATCTGTGGCTCGAGATCCTATGTATGCTTCAAAAAGCTCCTTGCTACGTTCGCAGGACGAAAATTCACTGAAGGTTATGAAGGCGCAGTCGAAAGGGTGATACTAGGAGCATCCTTCCTCACACATATAACGGAGGGATCCGAATCTCCGACCTGACCTGCGTCAACGATTAGAAATCGAAGATTCCGTTTCGTACGCCAAACTCTCAACGATAAGGTGGACCCGGAATGCAATCGAATGACAGCCGATGGACAAGAGTTGGTAGTTACTGAGTTCCACTAGATGTCAAACGTACAGCAAAAAGATCACCGCCCAGATGGTCAGAGTTTTTCACAAAAAAGCCCAGGAAAAAGGTATGATGCTCAGGCTTCCCTCTTACGTGTTAGGAAAAATGGAGGATTTACTAGGGCCCAATCGAGGCGCTGGACGATCACAGGGCGACAGGAGATGCAGGTGGTACTAAGATGACGTTGAAATGTTTGTAAGACTAGATACCCTAGACTAGTTCCGAACCCGTGGTTAGCCTTTCCGAGAGGCTAACGTGTTACTCCCTTCTACACTACAGAGGCCTCTCTTCTGCTTTTTTTCAGCAAGTTTTTTATTCTAGCGATGCTATCATCAATCACCTGAATTCCTTTCCTTAAAGCATGAATTACAATCGAGAGCATGGAGAGAGGCAAAGCTGCAAGACAAAATGACGTCGTACCTAACCTCGACCAACTCCTCAATGCTCGCATTCTATGTGATTCATTATAAAAACGAAATCCTAAAATCGAAGCTGGAAGAACCGTAGAAATGTTCAGGTCGATGAATTCAGCAAGGCGAATGGACTGCGAGAAGTGCTGGGATCCATGTAGATGTCATGAAGATTTATATAAAAGTGTGAAAACAAAAGCATGCAGCTAATTCAACAACTTTTTTAAGCATGAAAGGATTTTAGGGCAATGAAATACGCTGTGTGCCTTATCCTAGCCTAAAAAGGTGACTGTAGTGGTCTCCATAACTACCTCCTGATTTGTATCCTTAGTGTGCTTTACAAGATCTTCACTAACATTGCTGTGGACCTAATATCAACGGCGTTCTACGAAGGTCAACCAGTGAGCACTTAAAGCCTAAATGTGCATTCTGCTGCACTGACATCACACTCGTCGTAGCTAAAGTCATTGGAGTCTATAGAATATGCTACATTCGCTTTGTACAAACCTTTATCCACTGCAAAAGAGTGTTTAACGATGTCGATACCTATACGGTCCTATGAGCAGAGAAGAAGTGAACCCATATTCCCGTAAGAGCTCTAGCTTACTGTTTTTGCAACTGCACAAGTAAAATAAAACTTCTCACCAACGTCTGGCCATCTGCATAGGAGAATGAGTTCAAGTGGGTGGAACTATTTCATAAAGGTCTTGACCGCTAGATTGCATGCGTGAATCAAAAGAAAGGAAAGATTATTAAGAATTAAGTGTTTCAATGAGTGTGGAAGGCAAAATTTCAAGAGGAAACCGTCGGTTGCAAAACAATACCTGTGCACATCTTTGGCTCAGTGGTCTTCTGAGCCCTCAATTATGCAAACGTTAAAAAAGAGCTCTCCGCGTTGATCAATCTTTGAGGGATGTGGCATGCATTCTACTTCACTAAGCATCTTTTTGAGGTAATTGAATGCGTATCTGGCCTTTACAACGGCTCGCGGTGGCCTACCGTTGCTCGAGACACTTCTACGATCCTCCAAAACAAATCTGGTACCAATTTTCTGACCGCCCAGGAATCTAAAGCTTGGTGGACCATGGGCGCCATGATCGATTCCACGTGTGTGTTGCAGGGTGCCTCTGACCACTGCGCTACACGCTTTTCTTTTCTGCTTATACTGATGTAAATCTTTCCGCAACGGTCTGCTGCAGTCAGCTTATATTACCAGACGTGGTAGGTGTGTTGCATTAAGGCCGAGCCCTAGTTTTCTTTTCATTTTCAAGCAACTCCTTGGTTTATGTTAATAAAAATGCCGTTTGGACTTTTTGTCTGATGATGATGCGAGTTCGGCACAAGTTCTGAGTTTTTCTTCGACAAGCAGCCTATGGCTTTTGGTCTGGTCTTGTTTTATCAGCCAATAGTAATATTAGGAGAACATCACCTCTTGCGAATAAATGCTCTAATAACATCCTTGCTAGTTGTCAAATCTTTCTCGTAAACGTGATTGATGGTGGGGAAGAGCTGAAAAAAACTCAGCAGGGGTGCCAAACTCTTAAAGGTGAACAACTTTCTGACCAGCAAATTACTCGTCAACTCGATGTTCCGCCGCACACCACACAATTCTTCATGAATAAAAGTTATTACAGGTTCATGAACAGGTCAATCAATTACATCTAGGTGCCGATCCTCTTGGATGCCATTCTGGGTTTGTGATAGGGGTTAGAGTTCCTGACAGGGATTAAGGTGAATACTTTTGTCATGAATGCCGTCTAATTAGTCTGTTGTAGTTGCATGAATTGGAATTAGAGAGGCGTGCTACAAATTTTATTTCCAATGCCTTTAATCTTTTTACGTGTTCTTGTAATCTAATACTATTCTCATGGAGGTAACTAGTTCTCGTAGCTACAATAACCTACAAGACTGAACAACCAATATAATGGCTTCAGAAAAATTACAACAGCGAAATGAGAAACAGTCGGAGATAGCATGAGCACTCTGACTGCAAATGCAGCTGGTGAAAAGCACTCAACTACTTAACACTTTAGCAAGAACTGAGTGGAAGACCGGCTAATGATATTATTATTGCTTCATCAGTTGGTTGTTTAACTACTTTGAATAAAATTATTGACTTAGACACTACTGATTCGATAATGCAAAACTGTGGTGACTTCACCAGTTCTGGTGTATGTTATAACGGGGACGACGTTGTGCTTCGAAATCAAAGATCTCTTGGCAAACTTTAGAGAGCAGAATCTGAATTTTTTGATGTCAACGACAAGAACAGTGCAACCAATTAACACCAATTGGCACTCACCTGTATCCAGTGTGACGCTTATCACTTCCTGTTTTGATCTCTACGCCCGCAAATACGCACCCATCAGTGGCTAAGCCCTTCTCGAAACTTTCAAGCACTACCTCAATTCTTGAACCAGCTGGTGCCTGAGAAAACTTTCATTGCAATTTGAACCTACTCCAGGCTAGTGAATATTGGCATACCATAATCCAGTAGTTGCAAAACTCAAAGTCCTCCTTGGGAAAATAAACATCCTTCTCGCCCAAGGTATCAGTTAGCGTTTGGAAGGTAACCGTTGCATTCAGTATTCGACCACATCCTTTAGGCTGCATTGAAAAAGTGTTATATTTATGTGAACTCTTGATGGCCAGCTTTCGCAGCCTTAATTTTTCGTACTCTTTTCGTGCAGAGTCTTCCACCATATCCGCTAGGACAAACACATTTGGAGCAGTTCTTAGGATTAGGAAAACCGCCGTTATCGCACTTCGCCGAAAATGTTTCATTGCATTTACCTAATGTAGTTCTATATTTGAAAAATCGAGAGATATAAAGCCGAATGAAAATCGACATGGTCGTCTTTTCACCGAGGCATCCGTAGTGCAGATTGATCAGAAGTTTGTCGTAGAACGAAACGATCTCCGATCCAAGTGTTTCCAAATATTTGGCATCTCGTGGGATCATCGTGGGAAGATTGTTCTTCGAAGAGCTGTAATTAGATTATTTACCACTTGATGGGAGTCGCACAATGCTCATTGATTAGATGTACCACGCAGTACACACTTGATCGTCTGTTCTTTGCCGTTGCCTAGACTTGCCACTTATTTCATTTTTACTATACCGATAATTTGGTACCAAACATATGTGGAGGATGACAGCACTGGTTTGCTATATTCGCCACCGCAAGTCGTTCTATAGGTCAGATATTCACTCATTAACTGCTAACGGTATCGGGTGAATTCGAAATCCCTCAGGGATTAATCATTTCCAAGTGCTTCATCCTTTTACGTTTTTTCACTTTAGTGTGAATATGCATAGAAATGCTGAGCACTTGACCAACCGTTTCGCTCCATAATGCATAACACTTCCGTAATCGTAGGCCACTTTGTAGTTGTTCGTTGTGCGTCTAGTTTCCTTCTTGAACTGAGATTTCACTTCATCCTGAAACTAACTCTTTTAACAGCAGCCTGTACCAATAAATTATTGCAAAATTACCCTGATGTTTTTCTCCTTTACTTTGATGAACTTGTTACGATCGTATCTCGACTGCGTGTGTAAGAGACCCAGTGCGTGACCGATTTCATGAGCAGCTTGTCCAACCTGAGCAAAATAAGAGCGTCATGTCTTTCTGTGAATCTTATCATTTCAGTCATTTTGAAAACGGTAAAGAGCATATTGGTGGAGGTTTCAAAAAAATTGTAGTGGATATACCGATTCGCATCTTAGTTCCTGAAATGAGAGTCTCTGTTCTCCTCCAATTCTACCAAGACTCGAGAAACATCCAACGCCGTTGAAAACACCAATCTTATCCTCAGCTTAAAAAGTTCTCGTTAAATCATTCATAGATTCATAAACTTTCCTGTAATTTCCGATTACTGCATTTTTCTTACCTTTCTCGTTTTTAAAAAATTTCAAGCAGGTGCCATTTTCCCAGACCTTAGTCGCTTTTACAAATCGCTCTTATGGCGTCTATGCCTGAATTGGTCTCGAAATTATCTATGGTGCGTTGCTAGCACATGAGGCGCGATGTCCACTTTTTGATAGGTGGTATTAGTTTTTTGATCAAATAGATTATTGAGAGTTAAGGGCTTGATAAACAGCTTGATTTATAAGTTGCCTTACCATATTGATGTAGAGTTTTATAGAGGCGGTTGCTTTAAGTGCTATTTTATTTTTTTAATTTCTAGAATTTCTACCGAAGCATGACTCCCTTATACCACCAGAACAAATTGTAGTGTACCATCGTGTCGCACTGGACGAAATGTCCTCTGTACATCCGAGCTTCGCGGTTTGAAACAAGGTCTTCGACGGGAAAAAAAGCTGAAAAAAACGCCTTTTGCGGCTAGATAGATTCACTATTCCATGTAGACCATATGTAGAAGCTGGCGCTTTCATGGAAAAAACCGGTGGGATTTAGTGGCTATTATTCAAATTAATAAAGTCCCATTTTCTTAAGACCGACCGTCATTTGACCATAGAATTAATATTTTATACACTCTTGGATTACTAAGCTAGCATGAGGTTGGTAAGAAGTTTATACCGCTAACGTTTCATCGTCTTCATCTTCTTCAGAACCGATGGTCCGAGTCGACAAACCGCAGTCATTTATCTTCTGCTGTGCTGTCTTTGTTGTTCTATCGGATTGAATCTTCTTCAGTGGAGTACCGCTCAACTGAAGCAACATCACCAGACAGCGATCTTTTAAATGAGGTTACTACACTTGAAGCGAGTTCCACTGAATGAGATTCGACACGACACCACGAAGAAGCCACCTCAAAAAGCGGTCGAGCGACTGTTGACTCAACTCAATAAATCGATCTGAAGGAAACGAAGACATCAAGGCCCCAGTCGATTGAATTGAATTTTTTTAATGTTTAACGTTTTGTTTTCTGCCTTCTATAATTTTCATGGCAGGTTACTAAGCGAAATACAGCCACAACGTTGCTGAGATATTTGCAAAACTCTGGACCGTAGGTGTCTATGGTGGGGAACGAACGCGCTATTATCCTTTCCAGGGAGTAACGCGTTCACCACGACACCATGCGGGTACTTCGTTTCGCCTGTCTCTCAGCTATTTCTATCGATCTTTTTGCCACAGCAATCACCCGTCAGCAGAAAGGCAGAAAATAGAAGGCAGAAAACAAAACGTTAAACATTGTGATTTCAACTACAGCCATAGCTTAACTGGGTTCTATGCCGATTTGCGCTCCCCAGATCAACCCCGCTGACGGGTGATTGCTGTGGCAAAAAGATCGATAGAAATAGCTGAGAGACAGGCGAAACGAAGGACCCGCATGGTGTGGTGGTGAACGCGTTACTCCCCGGAAAGGATAATAGCGCGTTCGTTCCCCACCATAGACACCTGCGGTCCAGAGTTTTGCAAATATCTCAGCAACGTTGTGGTTGAATTTTTTTAATTGAAGTTATGTTAATTTAATAATCAGAGGAGGTAATAAAGTCCATTTTTAGGAGAAACATGTGATACGGGGCGTTAGCTATCAGCTCCTATAATTAATGTTTCCTAATTTGATTAGAGTGGGAACAGAATGATTGAATGACGGACTTGCATTCTGGTAGAAGAAGTAATTCACTACTCCGTCTTTCCATAAAGATTCAGGCTTACTGTAGGCTTGCCGCTTCGTGCGTTCAGCTTCGACGTATTTGGTATCTTCCAAAATCACCTTGGCTTGTTCTCTGGAAATCAAAAAAAAAAACTGAAGAAAAAAGAGACGATCTCCTAGCAGAAAGCCATGAATGGACGAACTTGGTGAGAAGTATGTCTCCTTGAAATAGCGATGCACTGACTTTGCTATCTTCATTAATTTCCTCGTTTGCATCACCCATTTGATGAATGCGACCATCGTTCTCAACTTCGACATAGTCCTAAAATTTGAGTTTGGTTTCCAACCTGACTCTTATAAAGAAGCTATGTGTTCACCTTTGTCGTAAGCACTTGTTCAGTATTTTTTTCAGAACTGAGAGTAAGTCTCTTCATTATTTTCCCCTCCATGTTACCCAAATGCTCGGTAAGCCGCCTTGTGACGTTAGCATTCGGTTGCTAAGAAAAGAAGATGGTAAAAACAAGTAACAATATTTTTCGGTAAAACAAATGTTTTGATACACATACGCATTTGAGCTGATATCCTTCTTCTAATTTTTCATCAAAAGTTTTTCCACTGCTTCTTCGTTCATTGCTCGACAGTGGATTGCTTTCCACGTTAATAGAGAGAGCAAATAGCACAAACACTAGCACCAGTTTCATTCTAAAATGGAAACCAAATAGTGAACAAAAGAAAAAAGCGAGAAAGACTGTTGAATGGCAAGAACAGGGAATAAATGTGGCGAATTCCATTTAGATCCGGCTTTTATACTGATTTTATTATTTACTTTCCATATTGTTCATAGAGCATTTGAGTTCTAACCAGGTGTGAAGCAAAACACCTTCCAGTGCCCATGAACTTCGTTTGAAATTACGTGCTTAGTTTACTTTTTATTTTCTGCCTTCTATAATTCTTATAGCAAAGTATTAAGCTCAAAAAAATTAAAAATAAAAATGAAAAATTAAACAGCAAACCCAGCTCAACTGGGTTCAATGCTGATGTGGCACTAGCTCAATAAATCGATAAACAACTCCGAGTAGAACTAAAGGTATGATGTCCATTCAATCACCTGCTCCCCAGATCAACTCCGCTGACGGGTGATTGCTCATGGCAGAAATCGATAGAACTAGCTGAGAAACAAGCGAAACGAAGAACCTGCATGGTGTGGTGGTGAGCGCGTTACTCCCCGGAAAGGACAATAGCGCGTTTGTTCCCCACCACAGACACCTGCGATCCGGTGTTCTGCAAATATCTCAACAATATTGTGGTTGTATGTGCTTAGCATTGCAAGGGCAACTGCATAGTACTTAATACTGTTTCTGCATATGTAGTTTTTCAATGTATGTAGTTCTGCAGTATGTCCTTGTTGCACATACTGGAGCTAATATGTGCTTTATCTAAATTATGAAGTAGGCTTTTTCGCTGTAATTTGTTGCACTTTATATCTTTTGGCGTTTATTTAATCGTATGTCATATTCGATTAATTTAGCCCTTCCAGCAACCACTGTGGGAGGATTTCTTCACATTGGGCGACGAAAAACTGCCATCCTGATCCGAGGTTCTCCGTTAGTCGAAACTATAGTGCCTATGAACGGACTGTATGTTCAGCTTTCCCATTATATTAGACTCAAATATAAATCGATTTCGATGATTCCATGGGACATTTTTAGGTTTTTAAAAAACAAAGGAGAAATCGCGAGTAAATGCGATCCGTCCTAAGTTGTGCCATGTATTCATTTTGTTATTAAGCTGTTGAAGTTTCTTTCGGGATTATCACTGAAACTTCGGACTTCTTAGTAGATGCCGATTAAGGGATATGATAGTTTTGTTACGGCACGTAATTCCTATTAGGACACTCGTACTTCCTAATGGAGGAGGAAGCGTATAAAAGTGCTCTGCAACAGACAATGGTTGCTGGTACCATTACGAGTCTCGCGTTCGCCGAACTTTCCATCACTCCGGAATCGGCAAACTGGCGTCACATTTTTTTGCGAGAAAAATTAACTTTAAATAGGTATCGCAAACCGTTGCATTTAGGCTAAATATGCATTCAATACAACACACACATGAGATGGTTAAGGTGGAAGCGCCAGTAATCGACCTCGGTCCGTTACTCTACTGTAGATATATAGATGACTGCTTGGTCATTTGTTCAACGCAAGAAGAAATCGACAGATGTTTCGAGTTGTTGAACACACAGTCAGAGTATATTAAATTTACCCGAAAGATATGTATTCTTTCTTGATAAGCTTGCACGAGGTTGATAAATATATTTATTTTCGGCTTCGTCTTCCTCAGAGCCGGTGATCCGAGTGGATGGTCCATGCTTGTTGTTCGCCTCGACGTTGCGTCTTCGCTTTCGTGTCGAGCCAGATCTTCCTCAGTGAGCCATCTTCTCGAATGAGGCATCCTCACTCAGTGATGCCCTTTTATACACGATGCTGATGGTGGATATATAATGACAATGTCCGGTGGTAACAACTTGTATTTCTTCCGGACATACATCATTGCGCACATCGTGCAGAGGTCGGTGTATTATCAGCTAGCACAAAGCGTAGTAATATTTCGAAACCGACCTTCCCTAAACCTCGGTGTGACTAATCAATATGTATTCTTTCTTGACAAGCCAGATCTTCCTCAGTGAGCCATCTTCTCGAATGAGGCATCCTCACTCAGTGATGCCCTTTTATACACGATGCTGATGGTGGATATATAATGACAATGTCCGGTGGTAACAACTTGTATTTCTTCCGGACATACATCATTGCGCACATCGTGCAGAGGTCGGTGTATTATCAGCTAGCACAAAGCGTAGTAATATTTCGAAACCGACCTTCCCTAAACCTCGGTGTGACTAATCAATATGTATTCTTTCTTGACAAGCCAGATCTTCCTCAGTGAGCCATCTTCTCGAATGAAGCATCCTCACTCACATCCTCACTGGCTCGACACGAAGGCGAAGACGCAACGTCGAGGCGAACAACAAGCATGGACCATCGACTCGGATCACCGGCTCTGAGGAAGACGAAGACGTCGAAACAGCCGAAAATAAATATATTTATCAACCTCGTGCAAGCTTATCAAGAAAGAATACATATTGATTAGTCACACCGAGGTTAGGGAAGGTCGGTTTCGAAATATCACCCGAGAGAAACCAAAAGAAGACTGGTTTCCATTTCTGAACGTGCAAGTTAGCCTATCAGAAAACGACTACATTACGAAGTGGTATCGAAAACCAAGCAGTAAAAACGTCCTAGTTCATTACCTCTCCTGTCATCCCTCTCACACGAAAAGGGCGCTTGTGAGAAACATGTATCGAACAGCTACCAGCGTGTGCACAGGAAGACAACAGAGAGAGGAGCCCCGGAACTTGGTGCGGCAAATAGCCATTTTTAATGGGTACGAAACCGTAGCTCGAGATAGGTGTAGAGGAAACCACAGGTACCCCAACGATAACTCTAGCGACAACATGGTCTCCTTTATACTGCCCTTCATTTCAAATGAAAGAAGTGCAGCTATAAAACGCTGTTTAAGAAGGGCCAGTCTAGAGAATTCGGTAACGATAATCGAAATACCACCGAGTAATCTAAGGCGCCAGCTAGTTCGTAACCGCTTATACGACCGTCTATGTGCAACGCAAAATTGCATAATTTGCTCCAATGATAGAGACGGTGACTGCATGAGTTCGGGTACAGTCTATCTGATCTCTTGTAAAGCGTGCGGGGACGAATACGTTGGCGAAGCGGGTAGGCCACTCTGCGTACATATAAAAGAACACATAGTCGGTAAACGTAAGCTAAGTACTCTACTAGGTACGCATAGCACGCAGAAACATAACGGAGAAGATTTTGAAGTAAGGGTTGCGATCCTCGGGCAAGAATCGAGAACACAAGCGCACAAAACTCTAGAGGCATTCTGGATTAATTCCAAGAATCCGAAAATGAAACCGCAGGGAGGAATGTCTCGTTATCACGCGTGATATTGGACAGTATATAATTGTGCGGTCGTTCTTCACGCGACATACTCAGTGGAAGACTCATAGAAAGCGGTGAGTGTGCAGAGCTATGCTAAATGTGATTGAAATCCTGGTTTAGCGTTTTTTCTGCTTGGTTATGGAGGTGTTTGGCCGAGCGAATTGCTGTCAAGTTGACCCTTCCAGGCTCTGAGGAAGAGGAAATCCGCTGAAACGTCAGCTTGTGCGTGAATAAAGAAATAAAATAGCACCTTGTGTTTGCTGAACAGAAGTAGAAAGATAACACACACATGTGTTCATTACTCGCGCCCTTGGCTCATCAAGCGTTTTATCCCTCCGGGATCGGCGAATTGTTACCAGACTTGTCCGGGAGGATAGCACCGCCAGTTTATGCATCAGCAGGCCATTGTGAGCCATTGCAAAGGCCATATATGCATTCAGTCATCTACAACGATGCTTAGTGGTGTTGAATGAATTGCGCTCTCCTCAGAATTGATCAACACAGAGAGTTTCTTTTAGCTTCTATGCATTCAATCACCTCTAACAATGTTGGATGAAATCGAATGCTATGTGCTTCGTAAAATAATTGGGAAATGCTGAACATTTTAACCTTCTTTCTTTGTGCATCCTATTGGAAAACGGAGAGATTTGCAGATTTCCGCTGCTAACGTGCAAAAGTTCTCATGTGTTACATCGCAATATGGCCTTCTCTTCTAAGAGCAGGAATACTTCGGTGCATCCAAAAAATGAAATCCTCGAGTAAAATGCAAACCAAGACTTTTGGAATTACCGAGCCCATTATACTTAATCTTATTAAACGCTCTCGTGAGGATAGCATAGCAGTTAAGTACTTAGTATTGTAGGTCTTGTACAATAATTTGCTTAAGCTTTTCTCACCGACGGGTCATTTCATTTTCGATTTAGGACCATCGTACAGCTCCATATTCTGTATTGCAAGACATCAAATGTAATAAAAAGGATATTACATTCGACTTTATTAAGCATCGTTTGGAGGTGATTGAATGCATATCTGTGACTCGCGGTAGCCTACCGATTTAACGAACCAGTGCTGCTTTCCTTCCAGACAATTCTGATACCAATTTGCAGACCCCAGAGTGATAGATGACTTGGTGGGCCATGGGCGCGAGAACCGACTCCACGTATGTGTTGCGTGGCGCCTCCGACCACTGCACAACACACGCGCTTGTCAAAAGTAATATTACAAACTTAAGTGGCTCCGAAATCATGCCAGAAAAAAACTCTAAAAAACGAAGACGGAAAATGTAAACTAGATGTTGTTTAGAGATTCACCTTTCTTCAGCTTGGTGATGGATGTTCGTCTGTTCGTTGTTTCAACTTGAGCTAAAACGATTCACACAAAATTGCTCGATGTTCTCGTTTTTTTCAGAATTTCACTATGAATATTTGAATGCACTTCTGGGTTGTATGACACTGCTCACCTTTTTTTTGTTTTAACTTCTACTGTACTACACTACTATGTTAAAGTACAGTGCACCTAGCGATCACTCATCGGAGGCAAATGTGTTTGTTCAATCGCAAATTTTTGCTAGTTTCACCAAACGGTGGATCAGTGGCTGCCCACCATCACTTTGACAGAAATGTCTAGCTCTATTTGTAACTTCGAAAAAATTTCCAAATCATCGTCTTCAACTTCTCATCAGCGAAATG